GTCGAGATAACTAGCTACGTGTCACCTGAGAATGAATTTTCAATTATAATCTCTCCTTCTCTAGCTGTGGGGTTTTTTTTTATAATTCTCTACTTTTTTATACAAAATATGTAGTTGGTTCAGGAAAACAATTTGCTTTTCGATGGAAACGCAAAATATTGTTTTTTTTTTTTTTTTTAACTCAGCTAATTGAAACAATGGCTGTTCGCCGCATATTTCCATATTAAAGGCGGAGTTCGTACAAGGGTCATAGTCGATGAAATAAGCAAATGAAATTTCATATTACTTTGAGAATGTATTTAAGTACCGTTATGTATGACTGAGGCATCAGTTAGTGGGAAAATTACGAGGCAATCAGCTGTTCAAACAATAAAAGTGGTATGGTAGTATTATGCATAGCAGAAGTTATAATTTAACAGCCTGGGCTATGACAGACACAGACCAAGTACATAATACTAATTGCTGTCCAAGCATTTATGAATGCCACGTCATGACTATCGTAGCATAACAAGGGCCACTGCCAGTAATAACATTTGCTAAGACCCCCGCAAAATGGTTTCCGCAATATAAAAACAATCAGTGATAAACAAGCTTAAATCATTTCTTTAGCAATTACAGAGCAATGCTTGCTCAACCCCTCATGCTCATGGATATCGGAGGTGTACGCGGCTAATGTAAAAATCAATTATGATCGCTTCTTCGCTGTGCAGCCAAATACTTAAGATTTCCCGAGAGGATTCAGACGGAAAAGGAGCATCCGTTTGCTGCTTACTTTTTGATGAGGAATCATTCAGCTGATTGTGTAGATGAGGAGCTGGCGCTGAATTTCGAGCTGTCACTGCTGCAACTAAACGAGCGCAACCACGTGTATGTACGTCATGGTGGCAATACCAGCATCTTGGCTATAGTGTTCATGAAGGATCTCACCGACAAAGATTAATTGCTGAAATTCGCAGTAAATCTACAGCATATTCGCACCAGACGCATTTTGGCGTTACACAACAGGGATCTTTCATCCACTACCAAATCGGATATTGTAACATTTTTTAAACTCTGCGAGCAATTGAAATTTCTTAATGTTGCGCTGTTACATCGCGATTTCGATGCCACACACGTTTATCATTCCTTCAATTAATTGGAAATTCATGACTTATGCTCCTCCGGCCTTTATATCCGAATCGGTTGGCAAATGTGTGCGGAAAGGAATTACGCATTCTGTTGGACCAAATTAAGCCAACTTCAATGCTGCGTGTTGGTGAAGACAATGTAATTTATAAATACGAATATTTGTCTTACCTTGTTGAAGGATTTGCTGAAAAGTATAACTTCAGGTTTGTGTTTCCCGGTTCCGGGAAACGGGAGTATAGATAACGAATGGAATACATTTTTAAATTAAATGTATCCTATGGAAAAATGTTTATGAATATTTTTTTAAAAAATTGCAGACATTTGAAATTAACTTTAAGTATTTTCCAAAAAAGTGGAAGCATTCAAACGGGAAATTATTTTTATTTCATTTTTAAACATAAATAAATAAAAAACCAGAGCTTGTTTAAAAAATTTTTATTTAAAAAAAAGAAACTTAAAATCGGTTCATATTTGGGCTCACAAAATTCATTTGTCAACAGCAACCATTTTTGCCCCACTGTGCGCTGCCAGAGTTTGCGTGGGTTTGGATGGCATATGGTGTAGGTATGGGATTGAGTTTCTTTGCATTCTTGTTGGATTTATACTGGATTTGTTTGGCTCGAGGTGCAAAAAAACTTTGGAAAAAATGTGTAAGGCATCGATAGTGTAAGGTTATTGGTTGATGGTTTTAATTATGCGCCCTATTCATCTAATCTCGATATTAAAATACCTATTCACATGTTTATGCTCATGTATTCAAAATTAAGTATGTACATTGATAGAATATAATAGTTCTAATCTAAATATAAGAATTGTTGCGGAATATGTCTTTGACTGCACTAAGAGGTGAGTAAATAAGCTACTGCTTATTTATCAAGGAATGAAACCGATTCAAAATAACGTTCCGGTTTGGGTTTCGGTTTTGCCAAGTGTTTCGGTTTCGGTTTTGGTTTCGTTCTTCAAAATTTATTTCGGTTTTGGTTTCGGTTTCGTTCCGGTTTCGGTTTTTCACAGAAATTTTGTTGATATTATTTAAATCACAATGTCTTAAAGGTTGAGGAAAGAAAATTGAAAATTACAGTTCACTGATAATATCAACACTAGGTTCTTTCCCTAACAATCCGGACCGGATTTGGTATTTAGAGAATAAGAGAAACATTTTCTTTCAAAAATGGAACACAGTCA